AGAGTTTCTTGTGGGCCTTCCACGTTAGCGAGTAGTCCCCTAGCGACAGGTCCAAGTCTAGATTTTCTGCAGGAGGGATGGCAAAAAGAGAGAATGCCAATTAACCAAGGAAGCCAAAGGCCTGATCTACCTCACACACACACACACCCACACCCACACACCGTCCAAGAAGTAGGCCAGGGCAGCAGCCACAGCAGGTGTATCACTGAGAGTTTGAGGCTAGCCTAGTCTACATAGAGATTTTCAGGGCAGCCAGGGCTACACAGTGAGGCCCTACCTTAAAAAGAAGGAGGAAGAAGAAGAGGAGGAGGAGGAGGAAGAGGAAGAGGAAGAGGAAGAGGAAGAGGAAGAGGAAGAAAAACATGTTCCCAACTCTTACCATATGGTATCTGAGGTCTGCCGGCAAAGTCTGCCCATTTTTGGATCAGGGCCTCCTTAATGGTCCTATTAGAATTCAGAACGACCACATCTAGGGGAAACAGCAGGTGTCAGCTGGGAAGGATTGGTCACACAGAGAGAGCAGATTGGCTCACCTTGCAGCCCAATGCGAATCCTGTAGACAGGCCCGAGTTTCTGGGTGAGGTCAAACAGGTAGATGGGAAGGTTAGGCTGGAGAAAGTGCAGGAACCCCGGGGCGAGAGGAGGCAGGCGGAGGCTCCTGAGCTTCCACCGGCCCCACAGCCAGCGGGTGCCAGCTAGCAGCAGCAGCAGCAGCAACAGCCCAGGTGACACCATGGCGGGACACTTGTGCAGGGGCCCTGATAAGGCTTTTTTATAGCTCTTGGCCCAGCCGTCCGTTATTAGTCTCGGGTCCCTTCCCACGGTCCCACGCACAGAGCAGTGTGTTTTCAGGTTGGTACCCTCCCACCGGCCTTGGAGCTCATGGATCAAAGATGGGACCATCCATCAAGAAGAAAGGAAGAGATGCAGGACCCTGACCTTTCTGTGTGTCAGCCCTGTGGGCCGAGGGATCCACCCTGAGCCCGGCCCCGCCCACCCTGCCTCACCTTGGGTCGGCTGAATGGTGGTGAATTTATCTTATCCCAGAGAAAAGAAAGAAGTGGGAGTCTCCGCCCAATGTGCCTTTGGGTCTGCCGCTAGTCCCTACAAGTATTTTATTATTGGTTATTATTGCTACTGCTTTATTTGTGATACTGGTGACTGAACCCGGGACCTTATATATTCTGGGTAAGCCCTCCCCTGCCAGCTGTGTTCACAGTCCTATGCCCCCATTTTTGTTAACTTTGAGACAGGATCTCATCAGGTTGCCCAGGAAACCTTGAATTCACTATGTAGCTCAGGTAGGCCTCAAACTTTGAACCCTCCCTCAGTCCCTTAAACAGCTGGGGCAACAGACATGCCACCCCACCTGGTCTCCTGTGCAATACTTTGCTGTTGTTCTTGGCTTGGTTGAGGCTGTTTGTGGGGATAGAGGGGGTGCATGTGTGGAGGCCAAAGGTCAACCTCAGGTGGTCTGTTCAGACGGAAAGACCCTGAGCTTTCACTTTCCTGGGGCTCCCTGAATCCACTCGGCTGACTGGCGGCTGAACCCCAGGGGTGCTCCTGTCTCTGCCTCCCTTTTCTGGAATGATGACCGTGTGCCACCGTGTGAGAGGTGGTTCAGCGTTTAAGAATGCTGTTTGCCCTTACGGAAGACCTGAGTTGGGTTCCCAGTGCCTAGAGGTCTGTTCACAACCTTCCCATAACACCAGCTCAGAGTTCCAGTGCCCTCTTCTGACGCCAGAGGGAATTGCATGCACATACATGCACACAGACAAAATACAGGTTTTTTGCTTGCTTGTTTAGTTTTTCATTTATTTACTATATTTTATGTTAATGTGTGTGTAAAACCAACCAAAAAAGAAACTTATGAACCACCACTCCAGACTTTTTTTTTTTTTTGAGATAGGTTTCACTATGTAGCCCTGGCTAATCTTGAAGTCAATATGTAGCCAATGCCCAAACGCTGGGATGACAGGCGTATACCACAATGCCTGGCCTGGTGACGTTATTGTATGGCCTCTTTTTTTGCTGCCTGAAATATCTAGAGTGAGGCGTGGCAGTGCCTGAATTTAGGGGGCAGAGACAAGCAGATTGAGCTGAGGTCAGCCTGGGCTACATAGCAAGACCCCATCTCAAGGAACAAGGCTCTGTTGGTGTTTGCCTCACACAGAGAGGCTCTGGGCTCTTTCCTCACCCATCACACGGAAAAGTGTCAGGAGACATGGAGCCACGGCCCTGGCTGCCCACTTTGGAACAATGCGTACCAGACACTGTCCTAATGCCCCCCCCCAATCATGCTTCGAAGGCTACACCATTGTCCCTGTTTTTTTAATGAAGATGCTTGGGTCAATGCCAAGGCACTTATGCATGTGCGGGCTTCTGAAGCAGAACCAGGCAACAGCAGGCAACCAGGTGCTCAGCCAGCTTGACTGCCGGAAGCTGCTGCCTTCCTCTGGCTACAACAGTAACGAAATGACCAACTCAAGTTGACTTACCAAAAAAAAAAAAGCCAGGCGGTGTGGCGCACGCCTTTAATCCCAGCATGTGGGAGACAGAGGCAGGCGGATCTCTGTGACAGGCTTCAAAGCTACGCAGAGAAACCCCGACTTGAAAAACCTAAATAAATAAATAAGCCACCAAACTCACCATAAATGTGAAAAGGGTCTCTGAGAACCATTAGGAAAGGAGAAGAGAGACCCTTGCTGGCCTTGGTAGCCAGAGGTCAGGGATGGGAGACAGAAAAGGCTTGCCACGTGTCCTTCCCCTGTCTGCCCTTGAGCCTCCTGTATTATAGGCACGGATAGAGCAAGGCTGCCTGGAGGGTCAGGGCCCGCAGGTTACAGAACCAGCCCAGGGGGAAGATGGGTCCCCATGTAAAGGAGACAGTTTACCAACCCAGGCCTACCTAGGAGGGAGTTGGGCAGACACAGCTGGTTATAGCCAGGGAGAGGGGTGTTTCCCAGGACCAGATCAAGGGCACTTGATAAGGGGACAATTGGGGAAAAGCTGTTTCAGAAAGGACGGCCGAGCTCCAGGAGTATGAAAAGTCCCCTAGCTTCCCATCCCCCTCTTATAGACAGACCCCAGTGTGAGGGGGCACAGGAAGGGCAACAGGAGACCCAAGGTGAGAATCTAGCCGTACTAACCAAAGCTGGGCCAGCTGACAGCTGGTAGCCCCTTCTGGCAGAGGCCCAGGCTTAGCCTGGATCCCTGGCCTTGCCCCAGGAGATGGGGGGGGGGATTTCTGGGGTTGGGTCGTCACAGCAACATCCTCTCTATGTGGGCCACAACTAAACCCTGCTCTGGTGGCTGGTTTGGAAGAAATCGAGGCAGCTGTAAGAGATCCAATGTTCTGGAATGCCCAGAAAGACTGGAGTTTATCCAAAGTCCCCCCCGCCACAACCCCGTCAGGGGCTCTACTTGATGGGGTGACCAGGAATGCTGGTGGTTGCCCAACTCCACCTTCCAAACACAGACCAGCCACCAAGCATGCTGGGGTGCTCCTGTAATTCCGGGGAAGCCAAGGATCAGGAGTTCAAGGTCAGTGTTGGCTGTGTGAGATGTGTCTCCTAAAGTCAGAAAACATTCAGGTTCAGCTGGCAGAGCGCTCGCCTGGTGTGTATGAAGGCCTGGGTTCTGTTCCTAGCAATGGCAAAATCCTTGGTGTGATGATGTGTTAAAACCTCAGCATTCAAATGTGCAGACTTCATGGAAAGTTTGAGGCCAGCAAGGATATATGAGAACCTGTCTCAAAAACAAAACAAAACAAAAACAAAGCAGAGGAAATACTTCCATGTCACAACTGTACTTTCCTCACTGAGTTAAGCCCTGATGTGGCCTCTGCCAGGGCACAGGAACTAACTAGTCTCATTTCTGTCTCCCAGGGGACCTGGCACCTATCACTGGGCAGACAACGTCAGACAGGTCATGGTCCCTGTGGAATGATCCAATGACAGGTCCATCTGAGCCCAGAAGGTAGGATTCCATCTCACCCAAGATACCAAGAACGCCACCAAAGTTGGGAAGGAGAAGCGAGGCAGACAGGGTGGGGAGGGTTGGCGCCCGAGAGACGTGTTCCCCTTGAGTATCCCAGGAACAGCGCATCAACCTTGGGCCCAGATGATCACCCTCAGACCTGAATGTTGCACAACTCCAGAAAGCTTGCCTAACGCAATCTGACAATGAGGTCAACAGACTGCAACACAGTTCAGACAACAGACCTCACAACTGTAACAACACGGGACAGCGTGGAGTGTGTGGTCTAAAGATGAGAGGTGTCCCTAATGGGGCACTGACTGTGACTCCCAGCGATAGGGCACTTGAAGCACTGGCTATTAGACCCCAAGATGGACTGAATTCTAGAGAGGCCTCAAGGAGGGTTCAGGCACAGGCTTACGACCTGAGGATCCCCGAGACTCAGAGTCCACAATTATACAAACTAAGCAAGGACCACAAAACCTGGATGGGTGGAGGGCTGCCCCACCTACAGACAGACACACGAGGACACTTTGCTGTCAAAAGCTTTTATTTATGCCTAAGTCCTGGGCTGAGTTCAGGGGTCC